CTCAGAACATGTCCATAGAATGCAACCTCGGTTTTACGTAGCTTGACTTTCTCACGCCTTAGTTTGATGTTACTTTCACTACAGCGCTGTAGAAACTGCTGAAGATGACGATCGTGTTCCGCTCGAGTGGCATCAAAAACTAGCTGGTCATCTACTCCAGGAAAGACTCCAGGCAGATTGTCCAATGCTTGCAGCACAAGCTTCTGAAATCTCTCACTGGATACATTCAAACCGAAGCCAGCCAAAACGTCCAAAAGGGGTTCCAAATGTAGTTAAATAGCTCGACTCTTCTTCAAGTGCTACGTGCTAGAATGGTGAAGTGAGGTCGACTTTCGTGAACATTTTTCCTTTTGATAACTCTGGTAGCATGTCATCTATTGTCAGTAGAGTACAGTACTAAGCGAGGCAATGAGCGGTTTAGGGTCGATACACACACGCAAAGCACTGCATTTCTCAGTGACAATTGCCATTTGGCTTACCCAATCTGTCGGGTCATCGACCTTAACTACGACGCCCAAACTGGACATACGCTTCAGTTCTTCTAATAGTCTTTCGCGCAATGTTATGGGCACTTTTCTAGTTGGCAGTGCTACTGGCCTAGCAGATTTGTTTAAGCATAAATGAGCGCATCCCTCGAGTTTCCCAATAACCCCATCGAACACGGCAGGATACAAATTAACAATATCTGCAGCAGCCTGACATGCGCAAACGAAACGATCATGCTTAAATGAAACAAAACCAAGACGCTGGATGGAAACAATACCCCAAATGGGCATAAGATCTGCTGACACAACCAGGAATTCAAGCTGGTGTTCCGTTCCGTCCTTAGGGTTGACAGTGGACACGATAGCATTTCCTTTCGGTTGCAATCTCTAGCCGTTCCACATTCCGAAACAACTCCGTGCTTCAGTATATTTTACTCCCGCACGATGTCTCTCGGGCAGTATGTTGACAGTGGCTCCCGAATCTAGCTGAAAGTGAACTGGACGTCCTTGAATTAACAGCGTAGCAAAAATGCGCTGCTGCGCTCCAAAATGCTCCAAGTTGTTTATTGAGAGATCCTGTGTGTCGACTTTTCTTGTCTACCGCACTGATTTTGGCCCATATGCAACAAGGAGCGAAATGGGTTTTCTTTGTACACTTCATGCAGGTCTTGCCCCGATCTGGACAACTCTCCTTTCGTCTTGGATGCTTCCGACCACAAAGTGACAGGTGGCCTCCTGCTCCTCGATGGCAAAAAAGGACTTCCTTGGTCTTCGATACTGTACAAAGTCCTGTCGTGCTCGCGCGCAAATTCTGGAACTGTTGTGACGTTCTTGTTTCGCTAAGGCACACATCCACATATTGATTTAAGGACAGGTTTTGCTGCCTCCAAAGGCGTCGAGTAAGGTCGTCATTTCCGATGCAGATTACGATGCGGTCGCGTATCAGAGTCCCGTATAAAAGTACAGAAGTTACACGTTCGCGCCAGAGCGTTCAATTCTCTAATGCAGGTCTTAACTGACTCAACCAGTAGGTGATTGCGACCAAAAACATGTCATTTCATTTGCTTGACCTTCGCAATAATCGCAAAATCTATTGATTATCTCCGAAATGTCCGGCTCTTGCTCCTGTGCATCATCGCGATCCAGAGTCTTAAGTACTCGTCTGGCTTCGTCGCCGATAGCGAGTCTGAACATAGCAAGTTGGTAAGGCATCGGATAAGAATCCAACTGAGCGTGACGAAACCTATCCACTACGTTTTCCACATTCTTCAGTTGTCAGGCAGCGTACTTTCCGTCACCACCCACAGCTCCAACCACACCCCGCATATCCAGTGTAAATCCGAAAGAATAAAACCAGGAGGCATGTGGATGGGAGCCAAGTTTCATCAACGAAGCCGGCCCACACTCCTTCACAGGCAAACACAAGCACACTGTATTTGGAAAATCAAGTACACACAAGGCGATGGCTTGACCGTAGTCCGCACCAAACTGAGTGCATGGAACCACTCTTCGAGCATAGCACAACCCCAAGGACCGTGCACCCCTTCCCCTGCAGCAACGATTAACTGTTTCCTAAGGCCAGTATAGACGAGATAGAGAGGTAGGCACCTTGTAAACATTTTTGTTCATCGCAATCAGCCGACAATTCAGATATGTCGACCAGCTGTCCGGAAAAGCACCAGACGGCCGTTTCGCCCTATTGAGGCTCATCAGTGGTGCGCATCCTTCGGTCCTCTGTGGAGGATCGAACCCATGACTGCTAGTGGCTCTTGCCAACTAGCCCGCAGCTTATGCAACTGCGCCATGGAGGACGGTATCTGACTATCGTGAATTGTTAGCTAAATGCGATATAGCCCGACGCATCCTCCACTGCCATGCAGGCACCTGCCATGCAGATGACAGCGATCGGCCTTCCGGCGTCAGGACTTCCCGATTACGGCAGCTATGAATCGACATAGCATTTTGTGGAATCCGTACGGGCGAATTGGTATTACTTGTGAATGGAAGGATTTTGGTGAGTATTTTTGTTCATCGCAATCAGCCGACAATTCAGATATGTCGACCAGCTGTCCGGAAAAGCACCAGACGGCCGTTTCGCCCTATTGGGGCTCATCAGTGGTGCGCATCCTTCGGTCCTCTGTGGAGGATCGAACCCATGACTGCTAGTGGCTCTTGCCAACTAGCCCGCAGCTTATGCAACTGCGCCATGGAGGACGGTATCTGACTATCGTGAATTGTTAGCTAAATGCGATATAGCCCGACGCATCCTCCACTGCCATGCAGGCACCTGCCATGCAGATGACAGCGATCGGCCTTCCGGCGTCAGGACTTCCCGATTACGGCAGCTATGAATCGACATAGCATTTTGTGGAATCCGTACGGGCGAATTGGTATTACTTGTGAATGGAAGGATTTTGGTGAGTATTTTTGTTCATCGCAATCAGCCGACAATTCAGATATGTCGACCAGCTGTCCGGAAAAGCACCAGACGGCCGTTTCGCCCTATTGGGGCTCATCAGTGGTGCGCATCCTTCGGTCCTCTGTGGAGGATCGAACCCATGACTGCTAGTGGCTCTTGCCAACTAGCCCGCAGCTTATGCAACTGCGCCATGGAGGACGGTATCTGACTATCGTGAATTGTTAGCTAAATGCGATATAGCCCGACGCATCCTCCACTGCCATGCAGGCACCTGCCATGCAGATGACAGCGATCGGCCTTCCGGCGTCAGGACTTCCCGATTACGGCAGCTATGAATCGACATAGCATTTTGTGGAATCCATTCACAAGTAATACCAATTCGCCCGTACGGATTCCACAAAATGCTATGTCGATTCATAGCTGCCGTAATCGGGAAGTCCTGACGCCGGAAGGCCGATCGCTGTCATCTGCATGGCAGGTGCCTGCATGGCAGTGGAGGATGCGTCGGGCTATATCGCATTTAGCTAACAATTCACGATAGTCAGATACCGTCCTCCATGGCGCAGTTGCATAAGCTGCGGGCTAGTTGGCAAGAGCCACTAGCAGTCATGGGTTCGATCCTCCACAGAGGACCGAAGGATGCGCACCACTGATGAGCCCCAATAGGGCGAAACGGCCGTCTGGTGCTTTTCCGGACAGCTGGTCGACATATCTGAATTGTCGGCTGATTGCGATGAACAAAAATACTCACCAAAATCCTTCCATTCACAAGTAATACCAATTCGCCCGTACGGATTCCACAAAATGCTATGTCGATTCATAGCTGCCGTAATCGGGAAGTCCTGACGCCGGAAGGCCGATCGCTGTCATCTGCATGGCAGGTGCCTGCATGGCAGTGGAGGATGCGTCGGGCTATATCGCATTTAGCTAACAATTCACGATAGTCAGATACCGTCCTCCATGGCGCAGTTGCATAAGCTGCGGGCTAGTTGGCAAGAGCCACTAGCAGTCATGGGTTCGATCCTCCACAGAGGACCGAAGGATGCGCACCACTGATGAGCCCCAATAGGGCGAAACGGCCGTCTGGTGCTTTTCCGGACAGCTGGTCGACATATCTGAATTGTCGGCTGATTGCGATGAACAAAAATACTCACCAAAATCCTTCCATTCACAAGTAATACCAATTCGCCCGTACGGATTCCACAAAATGCTATGTCGATTCATAGCTGCCGTAATCGGGAAGTCCTGACGCCGGAAGGCCGATCGCTGTCATCTGCATGGCAGGTGCCTGCATGGCAGTGGAGGATGCGTCGGGCTATATCGCATTTAGCTAACAATTCACGATAGTCAGATACCGTCCTCCATGGCGCAGTTGCATAAGCTGCGGGCTAGTTGGCAAGAGCCACTAGCAGTCATGGGTTCGATCCTCCACAGAGGACCGAAGGATGTGCACCACTGATGAGCCCCAATAGGGCGAAACGGCCGTCTGGTGCTTTTCCGGACAGCTGGTCGACATATCTGAATTGTCGGCTGATTGCGATGAACAAAAATACTCACCAAAATCCTTCCATTCACAAGTAATACCTTGTAAACATGCACATTAAGCACAGCCACACCGCGGATGTCAAACAGTATCCAGTCAGTTGAAATGAGAATCAATAATAATATACATCAAATAAAGCATATGGAAATGCTCACATAATTCTGCGTTAAACGATCATATGTAATAAAATGATTACTAACAAATCCACGATAAGTGTAAAATGTTAGAAAATATATTACAAAAATATGAAACAAACGCGAAACTGTTAGTGAACAACCACAATTAGTTTAAGCAAAGTGTACAAGTTCAGGTAAAGATGGGCTAAAAAAAGATAGGCATTGAGACACGATAGCAAACTCACCACCAGAAATGAAGAAACAGCAC